CGTCTTTTCTTGGCGGAAGTAACCATATTTTTTCGAGAATGCGTTTTTTCCGACCCACTTTCAAAATTCGGCGCCCCTTTTTCATTTTTGCGCCCCCCCAAGAATTGCCAGCTGGGGGGGGGGGGCGTGGCCCCCCCTGCCAGCACGCCACTGCATCAGACAGTATATAGTTTCAAACATATTTGTCATTTTATAGTAATTGATCGGCATTGCATGGGCTGATTTTTGCCTTATCGGTAGACAATCGGAATCTGTAGAATTATCTATATTTCCAATTGTCTAAAACCGATTGTTGAGAAAATACACACCTTAAAAATTATATGCATTGCACGTTGATGCACATTGTACGCTGATATTTTGATGTCATTATAAATCAGCATCTGTACAGTATCTGGCAGATTGTGGCATGAATAATTGGTAATTTATGATTGTTGCACAATCAGTTAATCACTATCGTTTTATCCTATTTAATACGTGGCAAATGCGTTTACACAATACTTATATAATCTGCTTAGCTGCTAACGTACTGCATTTATTTAGATAAAAACACAAAAATTGTATTTACATAAAAACACTGTCAGCGAAATTGTTTTTTTAACAGTAGCTTGCAGTAAGAATAACTTGTGAATCATTCTGTTGACACTGAGCCAATTTAATTCTGTTGACACTAAGCCGACTTAATTGTAAGCAGATGTAATATTCACATGCAGTGCTTTCAAAACAAGCTGGTGACAGGTTTACTGCCGGGTTAATTTGCTTAGTACTTGAAATATCAATTCTGCTCTCCGTCCTGCACTCTAAACTTTCAAACAAATTTATTTCTCTTCAACCTGGTGCACTTAAATAGCCTGGCTGGTTATTTTCAAGAACTTTAAGACTCCTAAACCACCCCCTCCCCACAGCCACCTACTTTATCAACACAGCCACCTTCTCAGAATAATTCTGAAAGCCCTGTATTCCATTGTATGGTACTCATGTGTTGTTGGGATGTGGCATCTGTTATCACTATGACCTTGCTGTTCAGCAATGCCTGGTTATGCTAATTCATCTTTGCATATTTTATAGAAATGCCAGTAATGGCAAAGCCAAAGCCATCTGCAGATAATGTGGGATGTGAATTTGTTCGCCAGTACTATACCATGTTAAATAAAGATCCAAGACAAGTCCATAGGTAGGTTAATTATTTAGGTGTACAGTATCTGTTGAGTTAACACAATCTCTCAGTGGAGGCACTTGCTGAATATATGGGGAGGGCAAATTTGGGTTAGCACATACATATTACATGTACATGACTTTTTGTGGTGTGATGACTTTCCAAAGTTCAAAAACGTGAGAAACTTTGCTGTTTCAATGTTTTTATTATTTTTTTAATTTTTAGATTTTATTCTAAGGACTCTGTGTTTTTTCATGGAGGTCCAGGCAACTCACATGGCAAACAACCTGTAGTTGGTCAGGAGGTATATAACACTTTCAAATATGTTACAGAAGATGAATATTCATTATGTCATGCAAAGCTTATAATTTAAATGCATCCGGCCACTTTGTCATGTTAATGCCATATCTTGTAAAATGTTATCCTGCTGAAGATGAATCAATTTTAGTTCTAAATTATAAGTTAGCCCATTGAGCCGCAATGCGTCCCAGTGCACCCTACTTATTTTTTTCACTTGTCTAACACCACACGATTTTACTTGTCAGTGGGGATCGAAGTTCTACAACTTAATGGGTTGATGGTTTAACCAAAAATCTGACAATGTCTCGATCTAGTTAATTAACCCATTGAGCCACAATGCACCCCAGTTATTTTTTTACTTGTCTAACGCCAGATGATTTTACTTGTCAATGGGGAAGCTCTGCAGCTTAATGGGTTAGTTATAAGAAAATGTGCATTATATTTACCTACAATTCACTTTTTGGCCAAAATAATTTTCTTTAATTTTATAATTTGTGTTCGATATTACTTTCGCATTTTTATATGCAGGAACTTGTTAGAATTTAAAGGTTTAAAGATGTTGTTGATTTTTACATAATAAAACTAACAGTACATCGGTTGCTTTTAAAGGAAATCTATGAACAAATAGAACATCTGAAATTTAAAGACTGCTATGCAAAAATTCTTCAAGTTGACAGTCAATTCACTGTTGGTGATAGTGTTGTTGTACAGGTAATAACTGCAAAGTTCTAAAAGGTTGTTTTGGGATATTTTGTATACATTAATTATGTGACATTACCTTTGCTGACCTATTGCTGACCTGCTTTCATTTCTGGTTGGCAAAACGTTGCCAACGTAAGTCATGCATCAAGGTACTGCTACATATCACTTCATACCACTACTACATCTGATTCAGAATTGATTTTAAGATTCTAATCCTTGTATTCAAAACAATCTATGGTCTTGCACCGACTGAAATATATTAGCAAATTAGTTGCTGCATGTAGAGGGAAAGTCTGAGCTAGAGTAGAACCTGCAGTCAAATTCTGAATTCCCATTGCAACCAATTGATAGAATTACTACACTACTCTAGGTGATCGTACTTTTTTAGTTGCAGCTGTTAATCTTTGGAATGCATTGCTAATTGACATTCGCCAAGAGGATTATTGCTTATTAAAAGTCCTAAAGCATTTTGCAAGTCAAGATTGTCTTGTGTCACAATTGCAGTGCTCACTATATAATCTCTGAAACCTATTGTACATAAGGAAGTTTTATATTTGACTTGCACATTGCTGCCAGGAAGAGAAATACTGTATAAAATTAATATTAATTAATATTAAAATTATGAATCAAATCTGTTGCTGCTTTGATATAACTTTATAGAAACTGAGTCAGTTATTTCCTTGTTTAGGTTTGTGGTGAGTTTTCAAACAATGGAGAACCAACTAAGAAATTTGTTCAAACATTTGTTCTTGTTCCTGAGGTTTGTTTTACATTAATTTGTTTCCAAATGAATATAGTTTTACTGTTTTATTAATTATCTAATTAGTATTGAATCCCCTATGTGCTACAAAATTAATATAGCATGCTGGATAATGACTTTCATTTTTCAAGGCTTTTGGAGTATTTCAATATTGATGGTTGAATGGTTCAACTCCATCAAATTTTCATAATTCTGTAGTTTCATATAGAGCACTTTTCAGGGCATTTTTAAATTAATTAACAAATGCTATAAAATGAATATGAGTATTGAATAAAAAGTAACAGCCAACCTAGCTTTGTTCCTACCCATTTATATACTCTCATAGAAGTTGCCTCACCACATCTTTTCCAATATTTTAGGGATTGAAGAAATATCACGTCCACAATGATATTTTTCGATATCAAGAGGAACGATTTCCTGATGAAGTGAGTGATGAAACAGGTGATGTAACAAACGGTAAGAACCTGAATAATATCAGACAAATTTAAAAACATACAGTAAAATATAATTTAATATGGTTAAACATATATTTAAGTGAAATTCACAGCAGATGTATCGTATCAGGGAGTCTCTAATGTTATGTAAGATCAGGAGTACTTTGTACTTGCAGTTTGTACCCAGGGCCAGGCTTTTAGCCAGAAGGGCATCCAGGCGTCCTGGGACGCCCCTACATAGAACGAAAAATGGATGCCTTTGGACGCCCAAATTCCATGGGAAAAGGGAAATTATTTTCAATTATTTCCCTAAGTATATTAATATATCTGAAACGAAATAGCTTCAATTCTCATTAAAGAAGTTAAGTAAAGAAGCATAGCAGCACAAACTCACAAAGCCAAGTGTTTTGAAAAATTTCAAACGAGCTTGGAACAGATACTGACATGAAGTAACTAAAATTCAAAGGTTTTCCAGAGGAACGTTTTTTCGAAACCCCTCTTTACTGTAGATGTATTGTCGTACCAAAATTGGATACCCTCTTTCAGGACCCTGGCTAAAAGCCTGCCCAGGGCTGCACCCACTGTATATCACCAAAAATCAGATGCTCTGCTGCTGATAACAGTAATAAAACCAGAGAAAGTGTCTTATTTCTAGTTTCACTGTTAGTGATTGACCGATAATTGGTATCGGCATTGGGCCGATTTTGCCTTATCGGTAGACAATCGCAATCGATATAATTTTTTATATTTCAGATTGTCTAAAACCGATTGTTGAGAAAATACGCACTTTAAAAATTATATACATTACACGTTGATACACGTTGCGTTTCAATGCAATATGCTGAATTAATGTGTGAAGCGTGCCATTTATTAACGGTTTTAACAATCTTTGGTTGCAGTAACATGTTACATTGGAAATTATTGTTGAAAAATTGACATGAATGACGTCGTCTTTACTCGGTCGACTGATATTATGACGATAATGATAAAATCGGTATTTTATAATGATAAAATCGGTATCTGGCAAATTGTGGCATGAATAATTTGCAATTTCCGATTGTTGCACAATTGGTCAATCAACGGTTTCGTGGTAACGCTGCTTTTTTAGAATTTCAAGCACTTAAATTTTAGATAATAATGTAATCCAAAAACATTTGCAATAAAGTATACATTGCATCGCATTACATTATATTACGTTACGTTACATTACATTACTGTACATAATATTAGTCATTACATTACATTATTACATTAATTTAATAAAGTACAGCACAGTTAAACTAAATTCTTTGCACACTGCTAGAACCCAGCAGATACACAATGAAAGTTGG